TGCATCCTACTAGAACCATGGAAAGTCAATTTACCTACGAGCACTTGTCCAACGACCCTACTGGCCTGTTACACAAGAGAAATGTTGCAGCTGTGCGTCCCATCTTATTTCTTTTCAAAATTAATCTGATTGAATAGGAACACAGCTATCGGACCTTTCGATGGAAGGCTGGGTGCATTGGTTGAAAAAGGGTGGTTCATGGTGACCCCCAATGCATTAGGATTGTACCAGCCTCCTCTTGGTATCAACCGGGAGATGTACATGCGAGCAGACTTTAGATATGCCGCCGACGACCCTCTATTGTGGCCGCAGTTCTACGTACGCTCGGATCCATGGCTCAGCTGCATACGAAAGCGTCCCAAGGACCCACTTGACCCCTTCCTACCACTCTACAATCCTGTCGCTCGCTCTGATTTCAGTACATCTGGGATCTGCATCACAGGACAGTCAACTCGGAAGAAGTTTTCGGACGCGTCCTTATTTGTCTACGCGCGGCCGCTCAGGAAAGTCATTGACATGTCCGAATCTCAGAGCTGGGGGTCGTCTGACTCATTGCTTAAGGATTTTCATCGTGGACTGTGCACGCTCCTTCATTGCCTCGAGTCATTGCCGTTCATTGTCGTAGAATTCGTTGGCAGTGGCGGAGACGCAGCGCGTAGCAATTGAAATGCGTGCTATCATGGACTATATCACAATTTACCGCCCACGTATGCTGGCAACCAATGTCCCTTCCTCTACCAAAAATATAGCCAATACGGAGCTCATCGGGGCCTTTACGACGGACCCTATTATCATCGAAGAGTGTTTTTCAGAGCCAGAATTCCTGTATGGCTTCTGCTCAAGTTGGACCGACTCCCTTTCACACGAATCGATGCCTACACCTCCCCTTTAGAACCAAATCAATATCTTAATATTGAGTCTCCACAAATACGGCTTCGATCGGTCTCTTATCGGGGCCTCTGACCAAGCTGAAAAGTACAAGGCATTTCGGCTTCTTTACTCGAAATCACTTGAGATTGCCGAACCCTTTTTGCGCTCGTCCCCGGCGAAGTTCGTTTGGACCCTCCTCTACCAGAGCCATTGTCATCAACACGCGGAAAACCATGTAAGTTGGGGTTCTTCATGCTTCATCCCTTTCTAAAGTTGGTTATAGATGATGTTTCTACTCAAAGAGCGAAACAAAAGCATCCGAGTCAATCTAACCAGACGAGATTCCTTTCAGTCATTGTTCACCCTCGTTTACCGCCTGCTATCCCGGTATGGCAGGCTGCGGTGGAGTCCACAAGCTCAGATCGTTCTCGATGTTACCCAGAAGCAAGGATTGCCGAAGCAAACGGATATATCTTTCCACGACCAGATATCTTCATTGGTGCACAGGACGAATGCAAAGCTCTCGAACTCGTGAAAGCATGGCTATGCCTACGTCCTCTGCTACTGGCACGAGTTTCTTGTTCATCGTATTCAGCACAGCTGGTAGCTCATCAATCCTGGCGCGTTATTCTAAACTTGGACCATTTGATGAAGAATGCGAGATCAGATGGCGCCAGCTCATCCAGAAGCACACCGACGAAAGCCGAGAGACGTAGAGAACAAGCCGTCGCTTTTTTGCAAGGTTGCGCAGGGCGAGCTGCAGATTGATACTAAATTCAATGTTGGTCCTGCAGTTTGGAGAGGCATAGAGCTCGAGATGTTAACAAATGATCATCATCGGGAAATCGCCTGGGAGCTTGCAGAACTCAACTTCAGGTTCGAGTTGCTAGCATTGGATGCACGAGCAGCGACTAACGGAGGAAACCACGATTTACTCCTGCGCTGTCTACCCAACGGCCTTACCACGGCATTTGTCGCAGTCGACGTCGGCAGTGCTAATCATGGGCTAGGACATCCGACTTGGCGGCAGAGAGCTCCATATGTGTTTCCATTGATGAATGCGATGCGCTCTTGGAAGGCTTGCCCGCATTTGATCCAACAGAAGAGGACCAATTATACGGAAGCACAATTTGATGAGATCGAAAAATGTGTTGCTCTTTTCTATGTGGAGTCGTTCTTTCGCTTCTTCGGTCATGCACCAGTCATTCCGCGTCATCTCCCCCATTCTCCGCAGACTTCATTTGTGCCCGAGACATGTGAGGAAATGTATACAGAAAGATCGGGTCTTGTGTTTGATATTGCGCAGTTCCATGAGCAGTAATACCTTTTGAAGCTGGAGTATAACTTGTTGAGTTAGGTGCGTTCTCTGGTGTCCTTTCGCATTATCCTCTCACTGTTAAAAGTTTTTATAGTATAGTATCCGTTTATATGTTTTCAGCTATGCCGTACTACAATGTCTATTTCCTTCAATCATGGCCGCCAGTATACTTGAGGGATTTCATCCTGAGAAACATATCGCTGTCAATGCTATCAACAATCAAATACTCCTTGAATCCATCGCCTGGCTTGGCCCCGAAATCTTCAACCAAGAGCGCCCCTCGAATAATCATGTAGACGGATACAAATACTGATTTTTCTTTCTTTCATGCACGGACTCAATAAAAGCCAAGGTCCTTGTCTAGCTTTGCAGTTGTTGTGCCTACGGGTTCATCGAGAGGACGGACAAGGGCGAGAGGAAACGTTTTTCCTGCAATAACACAAGTGAAGACCATTATAAGCTGCGCGAAGAATGGACGCTCGGTGCTGTCAATGAGGAGGAAATCGTATCGTGGATGATTATAGAAATCAGGGCTGCATCGCAAATAGTCGGTGGATGTGGTCCAATCAACGGTGTTTTCATAATTGACTTTCAAAAGGCCGTATAGCTGAATCTGTAAGTGGTATATCAATCATGAAAATAAAGCTCTAACAACCACATATTGCTTACCTCTTCGTGTTGCTTGAATGTCTTGAATACTACCTTTTCTCCATCGACTTCAGGGACAATATCAGGGTATTTCGCAAACTGTCCCACCATGAAGGATGATAGACGTGTTTGAAAACCCTTGAACGCCGGGTCGCCTGCCTTCAAAGCCCTGATTTCTCCGATTTTGAAGACCCCACCCCCTTTACCACGGTGCCCATGTAAAGTCACTTTCCCGGAGTATTCGGAAGCTGATTTATCCTGATCTTTTAGCTCGGAGTCGTCGTTTTCGGACATCTGCAGTTGCTCATCGTGTAAGTCGATTTGCTGTCGTATAAATGATGCAGCATTACACCACGAATCGACACGTAGAATCTAAATCAAGATAGGTTCAGTTGCTATATTGGTACCTGCTGAAATCGGAAGTACCTGCTCCGCTACATCTTTGAAGTTGGTTCGCAACTGATATGCGTCTTTTAGAGGGCCATGCATTTTCTCGTTGGGCTTCGTATTGTAGTTCAGCGTGACACCCTTTTGCAAGATATCGTCAACGACATGCTGGTGAGAGTGGACTTTGGGGAAGTTCCATGATTTCGCGCCCGGATTAATCGACCGTGTGAGTTGTTCGTACTCCTACATTTGATCAGCCTGTCATTCATGAATATTAGGAGATGACCCACCCTTATGAGTGCTGAAAACCTGAGAAGCTCATTCTGAATGGCTTGTATGCTACGCTCAGTATGGAGGTTGAAGCCCGTGTACATATGAAGCTCTATATAGCTTCGGACACATTTCAGCAAATGATATCCATGCTTGTCCTTGGTCTCAGTGAGGAGATTATGGGTGACAAAAAGGATGTGCTAAACGTAAAATCATTGTTTGCTTGCCATGACTTGAAAGCTGGACCTTGGACTTACTTTAGACAGATCTTCATACTTTCCGCCATCAGCGAAATGGACCGCCATAAAACCGCTTTCAAAGTGATATAGATTCCTCCAGCGTGGAAAGCGTTTAATTCTATATCAAGGAAAATCAGAATGTACATAAAACATGAGAACGGGAAACACTTACTGATCGTCTGCCTGACCTATAGATTCCACGCCTAAGGCTTCAATCCGGGAAACGATTTCACGTCTGAGATGTTCTCCGAAAAGGCCATTATCATAAGCATGAAGACGATCAAAGGAAAGTGTGCGGAACGGATCGCAGTCTTTGATGTCCCAAAAGGCATTCTATTCAAGTTGGTCAGTTCAAAGAAGACAACGCAAACTAAAGATTCAGGTGACCTCAATATTTCTCAAGCCAAAGCTAGACAGAAACTTGTTCCGAGCGTCCTTCCTTGGAATGGCAGCAGCATCTGCAAGTATTTCTTGAGTTTGCTTTGATGTCCGTAGCTCGTATTTGATATCTAGACAATACTGTTCTGCCTTAGGTACCATACAGACGACGCATGGTTTCAGACCACCGGAACCTCGAATAAGGACAACAAAATTCCTATTATCACATACTATTTGGTGAGCTCGCGCTGTGATAAAATGAGACTGATGACTGACGCCTCTTCATAATCACAGCTTTTGATTGGCAATCAGGGAAAAACCTGGAGATCTACGTTCGCTAAGGCAAGATGAACCCAACCTCCTACTTTGCTTGGTGCAACTAGCGGTTCGAGGATAAATCTGAAGGCAGCATGCCACACGCGGCGCTTGAAGTCTACATAATAAACCTTCCTCTTGAACTTTGCTTCCTCCTTTATCTAAGTATAGATGATTCAGTCCAAGTATTAGAAAAATCAGATCACTGGAAGACACGGACCAATGGTAGCCACCCAACGACACGTCCACCGCCAACACCATTCCCATTTCGTATGTCAATCTTCAGATTTCCACAACGGGCAATGACAGGATAACCTTGAGCTGTACCGAAAGAAGAAAGACGTGTTTTATCAGCATATATAATGTAACAAAGAACTTTTGCGCCTTTTGGGAGCGCTGTCTGTAGCGAACAAATGCGTAAGTTGTATGATTCTCGAGAGAAGCTCTACTAAAGCACACCTGTAGATCCCAAAAAGCTTGCGCTGTCCACGGTTCATCGATGAACCGCTCGAAAGCCTGTCCATTCCACTTTGAAAGCTGAACAGCATCCCAAACAAAGTGTGGCTCCAGAAGTGGATCCTGAATCAAATCCAATGCCCAGGTCCAGAGATCTCGCCGGTAAACATCAAAGGTATAGTCTTTACCCCGGAGTGGTACAGTAACCGTCGACTTCTCAAACTGAAAAAACCTTGTCAGATATTATATTCTTAATATCGCAAGAACATGACAACTCACTGGTGTAATCAAATTGGCTGCACGATCCCAATGATCTTTGAACTCCTTCGGGCTACGGATGCTGGATTTAATGCCTTGGTTGCTTTCTGCCTCCGGGTTCAGTAGTCTGAACATAGTCTTCATCTGCTTCTCAGTAAGAGCCGCATCAAGAATGAATTCAGCAAGCTCAAAGTCATAACGTGATGCAAATGGTCGCCATGGATGTGGGTCAATAGGCGGTTCCGCATGTTGGAATGCAGGACGCGAGCGATAGTCATCAAAATGATCGATCCGTGTTAGTCGCCCACTGGACGGGTGGTAGATCGTTCGCATGTCGTCAAGTTTGTATTCAGATGTGCCATGAACACGTTCTTCCTGAGCTTCAAGTGGAAAGGTAACTGTGAAGTCATTCGGAACATGGTTTATTATTGCTTCAGACAAGAATTAGCAGGGTGAAACAGGAGGTGATCATGCAGGGATGACTTACGCTCTTGATGTTCTTGATTTTCCGACAGATGGTTATCAATAAAAACGGCGATATCTTCCCCTGAGGGTACGGTAACGACCGTTTCCGCTAAACCTACATGCAACGTTGTCAGAATGCAAATGGGGCAATGAAATGCGTAGCGGTAACCTGCTTACCTGTTCTGAACAATTGCTGCTCATAAAGCATATCAGCCTGCTCCTCATCAAGCTTTCGCTTGCAAGAGGTCTCGTGTTTCTTCAAACCACGGAGCGCAAATGAACGGAGACAGTATTGGCATTGCTCCTGACGAGCGGGCGGCATTGGATATCTGATATGAAGACAATGAAGTTTATGGTTGGGGATCTGGTGTTCATAACTGGAAATTTCACTGGGTTTTATATTGCCTAGCATACTGCATTCCTACAGTGGCTCGACTCCAGCATACATTTTTGGCGGCAGACGGCCGTTGCCCAGCAAATTGTCAAGTATCCCCATTAACTTTCTTGGGGATATCTACAGCATAGGAAGTCTTAGGAGTTCTAAAATACTTGCTAACTCTTATATTAGGGATTCGCAGTGCGGACAGCACTATCCGTTGTCGAACTGTGACTTTGCGATTCTAGCGCTTTTCGGACTTGATTCGGACCGGTGCGGATGAGATTATCTTATCTAGGTTATTAAGATCACTGGGCCTAATATACACTACGTTATGATTTCGGGCCGGATTATATTTCAAATACCCTAATTAGGTCCTGACACAATCTCCGACATTGGTCCGCATGCAAAGGCGCCTTCGGCATATACATCCCTGGGTGCGGTTTGCTTCATCTAAAGTTCAAGATCACCGCCCCAGTCTCAAGACAGATATGGGAAACATGACTAAATTCTACCTTCGCAGTCAAGGTTGTTTCCCAGGGCTGCACTAGAACATATTGGTCCATCAAGTATACGTCTTCTGGTCGATCGTCTTGACAGTCGATGCTATATCTGACACTCGTCTGAAAAAAATGCTTAACGGGAACCCTGGCAGAATTGCATCCGTTGGGTTATGTTCTCACTCGGGCCATATCGTGGTGCTGACATAAATGCACGCGCCGGACTCGAAGTTGTCTTGACTCGGACTTATCTGGAGGGTATTGTGACACGAAGTTGGCCGACTAGTCTTGTTATCTTCCAAACTTTGGCGGCCTCTGCCTTTATATGTGCATACTGTTGCAACCATAAAGAAAGCGAGCTTGCTACACCAATGTCATTTATGTCTTGGTCAGCGTGGACGTGTCATTTCGGCTTGTATCAAGTAAGTCCGCCCTTCGTAGATTTTTTGTGTCTACCTTATTAACGGCGAGAAAAGTTAATAAATGTTCACCTAAACGGGTGCGCAAGGTGCGAAGTTGTCGGGCTTCGGTGCAGTACGTCGAGTTCCTGTGAAGTCACAGCGCATTTTCAGGCGAAAATTCCTTTACAGGTCTCTCGGAATGGAGAGTCTCGAGAACTCCCCGGCATCTAGCAGCTATCTTCCCGAAGGACTCTTGAACAACCCTGCTGCGGATGGGCTACGTTCGCATACCTCACAAAGCATAGGCGGTTGTTGTATGGAAATTATAATCTGCCGTGGAAACTACAGAAATGTAGGAGGGGGAGGCAAGCAAGGATTGCTCTTCCTCGTGTGTTCCCCAGAATCCAGAATCCTTGTCGGGTAAGGCGGTGAAGACTTCAGCCTTTCCAGATGTGACGGTCCCTTCACACGAAGCTACGGAAAACCGTCGTACAGATATCTGGTGTGGGTGTGCAATCAATGGGCGCAGCTTTGAGACTTGAACGGGGCCCGTTCTTGCTGGTAAAGAAGGTTTATACCCGGGAAAACCGGCCCGTAATGCCGACTTGGTCAAGAAACCTTTGGGTTATGTCTTTCTATCCATCCGTCAGGCATCGCCCTAGAAACCATCTCTACCATCGATGATAGCCAACGTTTTGGTGGATATCCCATCCCCATTCCTCCCCATTTCATCACATCGTTACTGTATCGATCACCTGAAATTATGATGGTGTGTATTCGTGTGTTAGTCTTAGTGAGCTCAAGCTGGGC